CCCCCCCTTCGCCCCCGACCACTCCCGCGGGCTCAAAAAAAACACAAAGCTAATTTCAGCCAACTTAATTACGAAAAAAAAAAAACAAAAAACATATCAGCTTATCCATCATCCATCAACATTCATCTCCTTAATATCCATTTTGGGTTTCCCAAAACATCTTCACATATTTTAATCTTTTTCGATTTTCGAAGGAAGCAATTAGTACCTCATTTTTACTATAAAAAAAAAAAAAAGCTCCTTTCTAGCCATAACTCGGCTATATATATTAATCAAAAAAAAAAATTCATCGACTTTATCTTCCGGATTCCGTAACATGGATTTTTATCCCTCGTCGAAGCTTGGATTTAAAAAAAAAAAGAAAAAAAAAAGAGAGAGAGAGAGAGAGAGAGAGAGAGAGAGAGAGAGAGAGAGAGAGAAGAAAAGGATTCCGTAACATGATTTTTTACCCCTCGTCGAAGCTTCGATTTCAAAAAAAAAGAAAAAAGAAGAGAGAGAGACAGAGAGAGAGGAAAAGCTTGTTCATCGATCCTTGTCCTTCCCCTTATATCCAGATAAAACTTCATAAAAGTTAAAATACAGAAATTATCAAAATTATTAAAAAAAATTAAAAATATCAATTAATTAATTAGTTATTATTACTTGTTAACTAGTTTGAATCCAGATGGAACTAGTAGTTAAAATTAATTCTTTTTTTGCACTTTTCAAAACGATACTAATGACAGAGAAAACCTTAAAATTCTAAGCAGCAGCCCATCCTTAATCCTTCTGCACATATCGCGATCCCGATTGCCTACTTCAATCCGGACGCTCTTCTCGAGCCCAACAGGCAACCTTTTTTTTTTTTTTTTTTCCAGCAGGACAGGGATGGGTTTCATCGCTAATGATCTTGTTTGGTTAGAATATAATAAGACCTGCTGCTGCTAATACTAAAGAATCTAAACCTCCCGGAAGAAAAAAAAAAAAAAAAAAAAAGAATCTAAGCCAGCTAAGGCCCAAGGCTTTCCCAAACCTAAACCTTTGATTCTCTCACTTCAACTCACTTAAAAATCCTCATTGAATAGCTGCACGAAATAATTTCTCAGCACTAGCTTCCAAAAAAAAAAAAAAAAAAAAAAAAAAAAAAAACCGACTTATCCAAACCAATGGCGTAAAAGGGTACTAAGAAAGGTCACGGACGTCACACAATCAGACGTACACACACGTAATCACCACAACTAACGACAAAGAATGACACAATCTTACTTCATCACATGGCCGCTGAGAAAAGGAAAGGATGACACGCATTAATTAAGAAAAAAAAGGTATTAAAAAAAAAAGAAAAAAAAGGCACCCTCTGGTTGTTAACCTGACCAAATACAGGGAGAGACTCAGTCCCGTTGCAGTTATACCAGCCTTAACCCAATAATTGCATTTTCCACCGCACCTTGTTTCTCCATTAATTAATTAAATTTGCATTTTCCACCACATTTTGTTGTCCATTAATTAATTAAATTTGCATTTTCGGATTCTCCACCTTACCCACTTTCTTCAAAGTTCAAACAGCACGATCATCACGGTCGGGATCGCTGCCGACTGTCAGCTCATCGGTAACTGCATCCTCAATCTCCGCCGAAACGAGACCTCGACCGCGACCCCGACCCCGACCACTCGTAGGGAGGTTGTTCTCCACCGCAGGAGGCGAAGGGCTATGCCCGTGGGAATTGTCATCACCCTCTTCTCTCTCTCCCCTCCCCCCTCTCCCACTCCCTCTCCCTCTCTCTGCTGCCCCATCCTCTTGACCGTCGGTACTCGGTGCCACAGCAACCATGGCCCTTTGCTCCTGCTGCTCACCATCATCATGCCCGTGCGCATTGCCATCTCCTCCCTCTCTCATGGGAGCGAGCTCCACCTGTCCCACCTGTCCCACCTGTCCCACGTGTTCGACCTGTCCCACGTGATCAACGTGTTCAACGTGGGACTCCACTTGGTTTAGGTGGGACTCCACGTGGTCCACGTGGGACGTATCCTCGACAATAACCACCATTTCCCTGGGATGCAGCTGGTCCGGTTCCTCGTCCAGGTTCGCGTCATCGCTATCGGAATGATCGGTCTCGCTCCTGCTGCTGATAAATTTGTCATCTTGATCCTTCCACTGCGACCAGGTTTTGAGACTCCCTCTTCCTCTTCCTCCTCGTGCTCTCACTCCTCCTCCCACTCCTCCTCCTGCTCCTCCTTCATTTTCTCCTCCTTCACCTAGTACTCCACCCCCTCCTCCTCCTCCTCCTCCTCCTCCTCCTCCTCCTCCTCCTCCTCCTTCTGCTTCTCCTTCTCCTGCTTCTTCGTCTATAGGCTTCTGAAGTTCCGTTCGTGGTCGATCGAGTGCTCCTGCCTTGAGCTCATTGACCAGCCATCTTAGGTCACACTTGGAATAGGGGTGGGAGGAGGAGGAGGCGGAGGATGAGAGGGAGCGTTTGGCTGCTCTCTCCATGGCCCGCCTGTACAAGTCCTCCTCCCTCTGTCGGATCTCTTCCCTCTCCCTCTCCTCATCCGACCAGCTGGGCGAGGAGCTCGACGAGCTCAAGCTGCGTCCCGACCTCGACCGGCTGCGACCGAGGGGCACTCCGTCGAACCACATGTCAAAGAACCTCCCCGATCCCGATCCCGACGAGGCGGAGCTGGCATCCGAGCTGCTCCTCTTCATGCTGGCACCCACGCGGAAACTGAAACTCTTGCTCCCCCCGGCCCCCGCCGCACCCAATCGCGCTCCTCCCCCTTCCCCTCCCCCTCCTTCCCCTCCTCCTCCTCCTCCTCCTCGTCGTCGTCCAGAGGACACCCTCCACCATCTCTCCCTCTGCAACATGCCCTGCTGCTGTCTCTGTCCCTGCCCCCCCTCACCCGCTCCCTCTCCCTCTCCTGCTTTCTCTCCCTCTCCCTCTCCCTCCTGCCGGTCGGGATCCCTCTTCGTCGTCGTCTTCTTACTGTTCCCACCCCCTACGTTGGCCGCCGCTTTTCCGTTGACGTCATCACCGCCGTACTCCTTCCCCGCTGCCTGCTGCACGCGCTTCCGTCGCTTGGCGTTCGCTCGCGCGAGCTTGGACCACTTCTCCAGCGCGTGCCTTACCTCTTTAGGAAAGATCGTCTTCCGGTATCGCGATCCCAACTGCCCTACGATGGCGAAGAGGGGGAAGGTGACCTCCCCGCAGAACAGCAGGACGAAAACGCACACGAACAGCCGCACGGCCGCCACCACAGCCGGCTCCGACGACCCCAGCCCATGCACTCCACACAGCCTGAGGTACAGAATGGCCGTCGACAGCTCGAACGCCGAGATGAACAAGATCCAATGTATCCAGTGGACCACAAGCTTGGGCTTGCCAAACCAGAACAGGGCATCGCGGGGTTTGAGATCCCGACCCACACAAGGCCCACAGGCGTCGCGGTTCTCCTTCGCCAGCCTGTGAATCACGCCGACCAGCTTCGCTCCGACCGCGAACAGGCTGAGAATGATCAGCACCTCGACGACCAAGTACCTGTACAGATCGATGTAGTCGACGACGATGAGGAAAATAGCAAAGGCCCACATGAGCAAGCTGATGCCGGCGATGTGCTCGTAGTCGTGTTCCATCGAATTGACTAAGTACTTGTGGAAGTCGAATTTGGCACTGAGGTTGTGCGCAGTGATGAAGGACATGCGCAGAGTGAGGTAGTCCTCCTTCCGCACGGATGCTGTGAATTGACACAGAAAGGCAGCAAGCCAACTGCTGCATTTGTACCGATGAAAGAGCCGATTAGCATGCCGCTCCATGAAGGATCGGCTGGAGTCCTGACAGCTGAATTGCAGCTTCTCCTTCAGGGACATCTTGTCCACCAGGTCGTCGCACGCGTGGGCGGTCATCTCCCACTTCTTCCAACTCCACACCCTTCTCAATGCTAATCCCATGCAGGCCAAGGAGTAGGTGATATGCACTCCTGCCAGAATGAACACGAAAATGTGCAGTTCATGAATAGCTGGTGCTGACAGAAACGACTCCTTACCCTCACCACACACCGGGTCTCCTCCTCCTCCTCCTCCTCCTCCTCCTCCTCCTGCTGCTGCTGCTGCTTCGGTCAGCAGTGATCGTGCTCTGCGACGCCATAGCCCTGCAGTGACAGAATGAGCAGAGCGTGGCCAGTAAGAAGGCAGAAGAAGAGGACGAAGGAGAAGACGTCTAAGAGGAAGTACTCCCTCTCTCTCTCCCTCTCTCTCTCCCTCTCTCTCTACTTCTCTCTCTACTTCTCTCTCTTCCTCTCTCTCTACTTCTCTCTCTCCCTCTCTCTCTATTTCTCTCTCTTCCTCTCTCTCTTCTTCTCTCTCTCCCTYTCTCTCTAYTTCTCTCTCTCCCTCTCTCTCTACTTCTCTCTCTCCCTCTCGCTCGCTCTTTCCTTCTCCCTCTCCCTCTCCTCCTCCTCCTCCTCCTGTCGTTGCCTCGAGAAGTAGACTGTTTCGTTGTCTGGGCAGCACCAGCCGCCGCTGAAGACTCATGTGAAATCTTACAGAAGATAGTGGAGGCGGCTGAGGAGGAGAAGAGAGAGTACTAAAGAGACGCCCCCCGCCCGGTGGGGAATCGAACACTGCACCTGCTGCAGGTCGTGACGACGCTGAAGAGCCTGAAGAGTCTGAAGAGGATGATGTCACTGTCACTTTTCCTCCTCCTGCTCCTTGATTTTGACTGACGTCACTGAGCCAAACCAGACGGCGTCTGTGTGGGGACTTGAACCCTGCAACTGCTGGAGATGGCGGATAACTAATATTCGTTGACGGATCACCATCATCGCCATGAGAGCTCGAGCCGGAGCTCGACTCGGAAGAAGAAGAATATGGAGACGTCAACGAGTAATTGCCGTACGATGGGGATTTGAAGACGGGACCACCACCAGCGGGGGCGGGGCACGTGAACCATCGCTGATCGCCGCCCCGTTTTGGAACACAAATCTTTGTGATTGGACCTTGAAGAACGGCAAGGAGGAGAGAGATAAACCCCACCAACATCAGCTCGGACTGAATCTTCATCAACGCATGAAGTAAGGGACGGCGATGTGTTCGTCTGAAGAAGGCCCCCAGGTGTTCGAACACGTGTTCAACAAGCATGGACAGACAGACAATCACCAGCAAAACGGCGGCAGCAGCGAAGGAGGGCGATTCGTCTAGAGACTTCCCCTCCGCTCCACCACCTGCCACTGCACTCTCCCAACTCACACAGGTCAGGACTAGAACCAAAAAAGAGCAGACATTGCCTCGCCTACTACCTCCCCCCTCTTCATCTCCAAACCCTCTCAAACTCCCTATTCTCTTCCAGGTCTTCCTCCCCCTCCCTCCCTTTCTCTCACCAACTTCATTCCTCCTCCCGCATTCACTTGCCCTCCGTTCTATCGCCACTCCCCCTCCCCCTCCCCCTTTCTCCGCGACCACCTCCCTCCCTTCCGCTCCGTTCCATATCCTTCCTCCTCTCTTTGCCGATTCCATCTCCATCTCTCTCTCTCTCTCTCTCTCTCTCTCTCTCTCTCTCTCTCTCTCTCTCTCTCTCTCTCTCTCTCTGTGTCTGGTGTGTGGAGAGCGAGTGATACTGTGGTAGGAGTCTGTGTGTGTGTGTGTGTGTGTGTGTGTGTGAGAGAGAGAGAGAGCGAGTGATACTGTGGTTGGAGTCAGTCGATTAGTACAGATGTACACTGCGCAATCGAACGAAGACTGTCGAACGTCAAATCAACGGCAGGACTCTAAGAAGAATGAACGTTAAGCGGGGCGGGTGCAGAGGTAAATGATTAGCCTCGGACTGATGTGAGGGAGGGAGGGGTCTATTCACTCTATTCAACATTAGGAATCATGGTATATAGTCAAATTGCTAGTAGTAAAAAATACTAAAAGTCAAAATATTACTGTAATAGTCAAAATACTAACACTCAGAATGGTAAGACGCGCAGCATTCAGTGCGCTCATCCTTCATTTCACTTTTGCCGTTATCGTCATCCCTCGTCCCCATTTTCGTTATCGTTTTCCTCCTTCTTCTTCTTCTTCTTCTTCTTCTTCTTGTCCTCCCAGCTGAGGGCCACTCACTTGGTGATCCAGGCCATCGTCTCGCTCACATCGTTAAGACCGCTGGAGTCCGAACCACTGCGCGCCGATGCCCACAGCTTTCAGGCTGTTAGATTCTGCCGTTATGCTGTGTCCCCTCTGACAATAGATTTTGCATTCAGCCCAACTCTACCCACTGCGCGCCGATGTGATCTCCCCCTCCCCCCCGCCCCCCCTCTCTTTCTGTTCAGAAGCGAAATGAATTATATTATACACGCAACCAAAAAAAAACGAAGGTATATTATCCGTATATATCTATGTATATATTATATTATATTATACAAGCAAAACGGGCGTCCCTTACAAAAGTATGCGGGGCCACAAGGTGGGCGTCCCTTACAAAAGACAAAAAAAAAAAAAAAAAAAGTGTGCGGGTGCCGCAAGGTGAGCAAGGCATCACCTGGCACAGGCTCAACGAGGGAGGGGTAATGGCCGCCGTTAAGATCTAATAAGCATCCGCCGTTACGATTTAAAGGTCGGCTTTTACGATTTAACGGCCGCCGTTATGATTTAACGGCCACCTTTTCGTCGTCGACTGTCATTAAAAGCTGTGGGGTCGGGGCGAGCATGTCGGCCGACATGCACCTCATCCCCCACTGTCGTTGAGCCAGAGATCACCTGAGATCCCGACCGATCGCCGTTTCATCGACCGGTAGGAATACTACTACTACTACTACTAGTATAGTGCAATGGTCGTCTTTACCGAGAAAAAAAAAAAAAAAAAAGCCGATGAGTCGTCACTTGATGGATTTCTTCCCCGCGCTTGGGGCAATGACGCAGTCCATGAGGAGAGGAGGGTATTTAAAAACAAAAAGAAGAAGAAGAAGAAGAGAGTTGGGGGGGGGGGG